TCATACAATTTAAATAATTCACATAATATTAACAACTAACATGTATGAAATCCTCAGGAAAGGAATTCTGTATGCTCAGTAGATACAGTTTTTGGAGGAATTAGGTGTGCAGGGCGGAAAGAGGCTTGCGCTCTGGAGCTGGGAGCACTAATTGTTATGTAGCAAAACAGCGAGAAAACATTTGTTAACTCTTAAGTGTTGCCTGTTCTTTTTTAATAACAAGAATATATTTTGTTGGGCCCTTTGTAAAATCATTTTAACTTTGAAATTTTTAAACTTTTTGATTATAAATGGAGAACTTGAAGCAAGAAAGCTTGAGCTATATGGTGATAAATAGTGGACACCAAAAGATCAGAAAGAATGAAATGTAAGATTTAGAGACTGATTGGGACAGGATGGTCAAAAGTAACATTATTAAGGAGTAAAAGATATATGAAGTCCTTTGACATTAGTCTCTTAGCTTATAACGAAGAGATAATTTTCTTTGTATGAATAACATTAGACAGAATGCTAATATTTGTAGATGTTTACAATGCTTGTTTATTCTTCTGTTCTGCATTTCTACTATCAAACTTTGAATCTCTTTGGGCAATAAGATAGATTTCATTTTATTACTGCCAATATTCAAATACTATACATTGTTTTTTACTCTGGGTACAGTAAAATTTAGAATTCTTATTGGCCACACAGTTGAGTTGTGCAGTAAATGATATGATTTGTTGATAATTGAGGGTGGGGGGATTACAACTGAAATAAGTTCCCTGTGGCTATTTTCCTTTCATAATATGCAGTTCTATCAAGAAGTGTGAAATAGTCTATCAAAAGCTGAGGAATAGTCTGTCAGGAAGTGAGAGCTGTTCCATTAGGAAGTGAGAAATTTGCAGAGATCTGGGAATGTAGAAGAGATCGGACAGGATCGTTAAGCCTGTTTCAGAATAATTTGTATAGTCATAGTAAACTAAAATTAAGCAAACTTAAGTGAATAGAGAATCAGGACCCTGGTAAGATGTTAGGACAATTTCTAGACAAAGTCAGCCAAGGAGTGAGTGTCTGTAACTCTTCGACTGTGACAAAGGAAAAGTGGTTCAAGAACATGGTGATAGATCTTTTAAAAAATAATCTTGTTTACAACAAGGAATTAGTCACTGATAACAACAAAACTTTTTTTTTGTTATTAAAAATAAAAAGATGAAAAGAAGAATGCATAAGCAATTGTTCTTATTAAAAAATGTAAACAGTAAAAAAATCCATGGAGTAAAAAATACTCCCTGTATGCTCTACATCAGCAGCTCAATCCCAGGGAGAAAGAACTGTTTACTGTTGAGTATTTATTCTTCTAGACTTTTTCCTATGTATTTACATTTAAATTTATGCATACACACGTATATATGTATGCATATATATTTTAATGTAAGTACTATAAAGTAGTACACATACTTTGAAATTTGAAAAATTTTTATATAGCATACATATATATCTTTACAATCTTTCAACCTCAATATATGAATATACTCCAGATTTTTCATATTGTCCCCTTCCTGTGCAAACTGTATATAAAAGTCAAAATAGCTTTTTTTTTCTGCTTAAATAAACAACAGTACTTCTTACATGAAATATTCAGACAATACCAAAGGTGAATGAAAAAAGTAAAGTTCAACTGAAATCCCGAACCCCGAGGTAATTCTCATTTTGGTGACTTAGTTTTTTAAATGTATCCTTTTAGGTGTAAATAGACATATACTCACATCTACCACATAAATAAGTATAATATTTATAAATGAGTGCACACAAGTTTATTTTTATCACAAAATTATTCTAAATGTGCTTGAGTATTTTTATCTCCCTTTCTCACTCCCACCCCAGCTTCCTCCCATTCTTACCCTCCCAGTTACCATGGTGACAACCTGGTACACACTTTCTTACCTTTCTCAATGTCCATACAATCATATGCCTATGAAATTATATAATTTACACTTGTCTGCATTGTTCATTTTTCACAGAACTCAATCTAGACTATTTGAAACATAGTTCACTCATTTTTTGCTGGCTAAATATCCTAAGGCAGGACTCGGTAAACTACAGACAATGTATAGCCTGTTTTTGTAAATAAGGTTTTATTGGAACTCAGCCTCACCCATTTTTCTATTGAGTAGTGTGACCTTTTAAATTCTTTATCTGTTTTAGGTAATTTATTTCCCCCCAGTCTTATCTGTCTTTTGCTTTGTTATATTTTGCCGTAAAAGTTGCTTTTTTTAACAAAAAATTTAATTTAAACACAATGAAATGAAGCCTATATCTTTTTCAGCTTTGAGGTTCTCTACTTTGATTTAAAAGGTTGCCTGACTTCAGGGTTATCCCTGTATTTTCCTAAAATTTTTATTATGGAATTTTTTCATAGGTATGAAATGTGTGTGTGTGTAGCATCACAGTATAGTGTGGTTAAGATCATAGACTCTGATTCTATTATTTACTGCCTCTGTTCCCCCGGACAAGTTACAGCTTTCTCCTCTTAACTGGGAATGATAATAGTACCAATCTTATAACAGTGGTTACTATGTGGAGAATGTTTAGAACTCTCAGTGTTGGATACATATGAAACTCATGTTGTGGGTAGGCATCTTATTTTTCTCATATATGGATAACCAGTTGTCCTTGTAACATTTACTGAGTAGTTCATTCTTTAACTCAATTGATGTATATTAAGTTTCCAAATACACATAATTCTGTTTTGGAGCTCTCTAGCCTGTTATGTGGCTCTGTTTATTCCTGTTTTAGAGCCAGAGTAGCTTAATTACTGTAGCTTTCTAAATACTGATGAGTGCAGTCCCTTTACTTTATTCTTCTAAATTATTGTGGCTCTTTTGGCTTTCTTTGCTCTTCTATATAGTTTTTAAAAAACATCAAAATTTACAAAATACTGTTCGTTAATAAACTTCATCATGGAAGAGAGTGATATTAATTGGGTGGTTTTGGAATGGAACCTGTGGTCTCATTAATATTTTAAGCACTGCAAGTTTTTAGAAGTTGTCTGGTTATATAATTTAAAGATTACTACCATCCACTGTGCTAGGTGGGCATTGGGAATATAGTGAATAAAAACACTGTAGAAAGATAGATTGTAAGCCTGTAGTTTCCATACTGTACCCTGAAATACCTCAGAGAACTCCCTAGGCATATTTCAAATTTTCTAGGGAAACATACCAACATCTGTTGGACACCATGCAAACTTCTAGGCCAGGGTAGTTCACAGTTTTAACAATGGACTGTGCTTCCTTCATTTTGATGCTGCGATACCTTTGTGAAATTGGGTTTTTGGTGGTTGCTGTGATGAAAAGCAAGTACCATGCAAAATCATTGTGGAACAGGAAGTGAGAATGGTAGTGTCCAATGTGATTTCAAGGTTTGAGAAGTTGTGCAATGCCCAGTAGGTTCACACATACCATAATAATTTACTTGTTATTTAAAAATGAAATTAAAATATTTCTCAATCTATGTGTATTATTTCAAAAGGGTACTAACTTGTTAATGCGAAATATTTATCATTTGTTTGAACCTATTAAATAGAACTGTTATGTATTCATTTTAGCATAGGGAATTTGTGAAAAAAAATTACTAAGAAAATAAGGGCACTAAGAGCTGAGAAAGTCGAGGAACCTCTCTCCCTTAACAAAGTATTACAAATATTTAAAGATTAAGAACATTTGAAATGCTACTTATGTATTGTATGCCATGCCTGCTTATAACAGGGCAAACAGCATTTTTGAGAAAATGATGTTTAAGCTGAGCTTCAGGTTGAAGATGAAGAGTTAACTTGGAGAAGAGAGGTGGTGGGAATAGCTTGTGAGAGGAGGTCAGGAGCTCTGGGGAACTGACCTTAGAGGGCAGCAGGCCTTAGAGGGTGAGGGTGATACAAGGTCAGGGTGGAGCTGGAAAGCAGGCAGAGGCCAGGTCACAGTGACTGTAAGTTCAGTTAAGGAGTTCTTTTAGATTGTTTTGTAAAAGGCAATGTCAAGCCTTTGAGGGATTTTAAGTGAAGAGAGAATATCTTACTGTACTGCCTGCTTACTGTGAGAGAATAAAATACAAAGGTACTATACATAAATATTTAAGTAGCACTGTATTCAAAGTAATATTGAGTGGATATTTTCTGTAAAATTTTGAAATGCCTTGATTTTCAAAGGCATTTGTAAATTTGCCTGAGTGATTTTTTTTCTTAATTTTTTGAACACATGTACTCTTATTCAACTTGGTTGATATTGATATGGACTTTTAAAATGAAATTAACTCAAGCAAAATAGAATGTTAAACTGTAAAACATTTACATTGGTATAATTTTTTTCAAATGGCAAAAACAATTTTCTGAATTTTAAAATTACATGTTTTATTAATATATTTAATAAAATATTTTAAGTTGTTAATTCAGATATTTTATTGCCAACCCAATACATTTATCTCTTTTAAGTTTATGAGTTATTTAAATCTGGGCGGTGTAAAAAGGATTTAATACTTCTACAGGAAAGATAGAAAAGTGATTTCTCTTATTTTAGCTATCATTTTGTTCTGCTGTGGTTTATATTTTGATTTATTTTACTATAGTGCCAGTAAATTAATGCAATATTTTATAATAAGCACATTACTGCAGGTTACTTCAGAAAAATTTCTAAGCTCATTTTCAAGAGTTTTAAAACTGGAAGAATTAATTTCATATTCATCAAATGGGGATGGAAATCCCCCTTGTGGTGTTTGGGAAAGCATGTTTGGTCTGTTTGTAATTTACTTATCATTGTAAGTGTTGAAAATGTTAAAACAAGTGAATATTATTCTCTTCCCTCTGCCAGTGTGTTTTGTATTTATTTAGAACCATTCTTTACTGTTCATTAAGAATTAGTGTCATCCTTTAATTGATAATGTAAATAAGTTACAAAGATAGGAGAGTGTAGATATATTTGAAAAACAATCTTTATTTCATTTATTTGCCTAAGCCTCATGTGATTGTTCACATGAAGAAATCCAGTTATAGCTTGAGTTGTTCTCAAGGTAATTGGTCAGTAGTTTTCTTGAAGAAAAGAGATAAAGCTTTAAAATGGAAAGCTCACTCTGGCTTAGAATATAAGGTTTATATCAAATATTTTCTTTAAATTATGTTCTTTCCATGCTCAAAGAACTAGCCAAGTACTTAGAAAAATTGAACTGATACCTCTTGTGCTCTTTACACTAGAATGAATTCTAGAAGACTAAATGGAAACCACAAAAGTACTAGCATAAAACAAAGCTGAATTTTTAAATAATCTTATGATAAGACTTTTTAATGTATAACAGATTTAATTTTATGGAGTTAAAATTTATTTTCTTATGACAAAAATCATAGTCAAAATGTAAAAAAGAATATTTGTAAAACATGATAACTATACCGGAGTTTGCTTTTAAGTCAATAGGATGAATATACCACTAGAAAAAGGGACAAATTGTATGTATAGTGAGTTTATGAAATATAACCCGTAAACATAGAAAAGATGCCTTATTAACAAAGAATCATTTCAATTTTCTACCTCCATTATGTTTCATAGAACATTTTGCTTTAAATACAGTAATTTTAAATATTTATAAATCCCATTGTATGGTTTGAAGTAAAGCTTTTATTAGATATTCCTACCATCTTACAAGAGTTGATTTTCTCAGCTAGCACGGTCTTTTTTCCTAATGTTCTTCTAAATCAGTCAAATTTTGATTTCCTAGTAAAAATAACTTTTATTTATTAGATATCATAGTGAAATGACTGTATTTATGTATCATACCCAAAGAGCATAACCATTTATGAATAATTTTTGGACATACTATATTTTCTTAAAGAAATAGTAGAAGAAAATTTTGCTTAACTTTGTTCTATTTCTTTATTATTTTTGTAGGATCCAGCATTCGAACATTCACTCCATTTTATTTCCTGGTGGAACCAGTGGATACACTCTCAGTTAGAGGCTCTTCTGTTATATTAAATTGTTCAGCTTATTCTGAGCCTTCCCCAAAAATTGAATGGAAAAAAGATGGAACTTTTTTAAACTTAGTATCAGATGATCGTCGCCAGCTTCTCCCTGATGGATCTTTATTTATCAGCAATGTGGTGCATTCCAAACACAATAAACCTGATGAAGGTTATTACCAGTGTGTGGCCACTATCGAGAGTCTTGGAACTATTGTCAGCAGAACAGCCAAGCTTACAATAGCAGGTAAGTTTTTTAAAGTTATTTATTTATATTTTCAATGTTTTATAAAGGGTAAATCTTGATAAAAGCAGCATTATCCTAGAATTTTCATTTAACTGGTAACAGATGTGCCCATTTAACAAGTATCAGTTGAGCATGTATTATGTAGGGCTTGCTCGGTGTTGTAGGGAATAAGCATTTTCCCACTTTCTGATGATTTAGATAGCTTAAGGATGCTATCAGAAGTACTGAACTTGGAAATGACAGAGGACGTTGTGTAGGAAAATTGAGTCACTTTGATTGCTAACTTTTATCTTATCCAGTGTAACCATTTAGTATGGATTTGTAAAACTTGTAGCATAGCCAGAATCTTGGTTCCTTTATATCTTAACCAAGGAAATGACAGTTAATTGGATAAATTATTTAAAAATCTGTAGGATATATAAAGGTGAAGGATAGAAAGTTTTAAAGAGAGAAACATTCATTTCCTTTTAGAGCATACTTATTTGAAGAATGATGGAAAGTGTAGGAAAAATTAAGGCTCTCGAAGTAAGATCTGGTTCCTAAGTGAGTCATACTTGTTTTGTAGTAGACACTGGTGTTCCTCAGTATTTCTTCATTTGAATACCAGATTAAGTAGTTAAATTTTGTTAAGGTTCACTTTGTACAAAATGGTATTATCTTTAAGTCTTATATTTTATACTCACCTTTGTGAAATGTTAACATGTGAAAAAACAAGTATAACTAGCTTCTCATTTCATTTCCACTCCTGGTTCATGCTCCCATCTCGTGCTCACTCCAGGATGTATTTGCTCATTCATTCAGAATATGATGGCTCTTTTTCTCTTTGGAGCCAAATGCTCAACGTTGAATTAGTGTGTGATGTAAAGCCACTGTAGTTATTCCATAATCACAGACTGAGGTTGGGAAAGTGAAAGAAGAAATAAATCAGTCTTTTTGACAATTTGCCTTTTCTCTTTTTTCTCCTTTTAAAAATGTATTTGGCAGGCTTTCTACAACATACAAGTTAGCATTATGACTTCCCCTATAATGTCACTTAGGTCAGCTTCTGTGTATCATTTATGTTCTTAAACTGGGCTTTAATTTTGACTACTTGCTCTCAGCTGTCCCCACATCCAATCACCAAATCCAGTGAATTCTTGCTTCCTAATTTCTCTGTACTTGATCCATATTCTCTTTCCTGAGTCTACTCTTTGTCATCTCTTACCATAGCTTTGTAACTGCTGCCTCATTGTTTTCCTCCTCCAATCTGTTCTCTTTCTCTTCCTTAAGTGGCTCTCCAGTAACGACATCAGGTTAATGTCTAAACTCTTTAACAGGCCTCTTGAGTCCTTTCATGAGCTGGCTTCCACTTCTCTAGCTTCATTTCTTATCACTGCACCCTGCCCTTGCCTCTATCACTACTTTCATTCTCTGCCTCTGGCTTTTGCTCATGGCTTCCCCACTGCCTGTTAATTCTGTCCTCCACCTTTCCCTTCTTTCTTCTCCTCTGCTAGGTTTGTCCATTCTTCCTCTTAGCTTTCATATTTTTTAGGAATTGTTTTTTGACCTAATATTTAATTAAACAGGCAGTTTTAATACAAGATGATAAATTCTTTGGCTGCAGACAAGATTCTATAGGAAAGCTGTTTAACCTGCTCTTGGCCTAGGTATCAGGAAGAAATAATGTCCAAGCTAAGAGACGAATAGAAGTTATTCTTAATAGTTACATGGTATTTATCACATAGAAAGATTCTCTTTTTGATGAACAGTTAATGGATAAAAAATTGTTTGCTGTTATAGGCAATATTATTGTGAACAACCTTTTGCAAATCTTTATTTCTATAGAATAGATCACTAGACTTAGCAATTCTACTAATTGCTGGACCATAGGGTATACTTTGTATGTGTTTGTATAATTTAAAAAGATAGCGCTGGACTGTTTGGCAGTTCCTCAAAATCTTAATCAACCATATAGTTACCACATGATTGAGCAATTCCATTCTTGGGTATCTGATACTCAAGAGAAATGAAAAGATATGTTCACAGAACAATATGTACATGAATGTTTATAGTAGCATTGTTCATAATAGCCAGAAAGTGGAAACAACATACATGTCTATTAAGTGAAGAACAGATAACCAAAATGTGATACATTCATGCATAGAATATTATTTGCAATAAAGAGAAATAAAGTTCTGATATGTACTGCAGCATGGATAAGCCTTAAAAGCATTATGTTAAGTGAAAGAAGCCAGTCACAAAAGATCATATGTCATATAGCTTCATATATATGAAATGTCCAGAATAGGCAAATATATAGAACCAAAAAGTAGATTGGTGATTTTCTGAGGACGAGGGGATTAAAAGCATGGGGGATGGGGTGGGAAGAGGGAAGGTATGGGGAATGGCTACAAGTGTCTACAGGGTTTTTTGGGGGGGATGATGAAGATGTTCTAAAATTGGATTATAGTGATGATTGCACAACTCTACATGTAATAAGACCATTGGATTGTGTACTTTAAATGGTAAACTTTACAGTATATATATGGTATGTCAATAAAACTATTTTTTTTTTTAAAAAGGTACTGCCAAATTTCCATTCTAAAAGACTATTGGTTGGAGTTCTTTGATTGCAAGCAGTAGAAACTGATTCTGGTCAGTCAAGCAAGAAGGGGAATTTTTGAAAGAACACTAAGTAGATAGTTCATAGAATTAAATATGAGAGGTCTTTTTCTGTGGATCTCATTTCTCCACAGCATAAAATTGTTTTACTGCCTCGGCTATAGGTGTTTTGTGCTCAGTGGTGGGAAACCGGGTGGTCTAACTACAGACATTATCAATTCCTTCTTGGCAGCCCCATTCCCACTCTCTTTTTTTCCTGCAGTTCTCCAGAGGCAGCAGGACAAACTGGCCTCCTGCTTGTTGAGCACAGGACGCTGCAGCATCTTCTGCGTTACTGTCATTTACTGGTTCCTCCATCTGCTTTCTCTGTTCATAAACTCTTTGAAATTTCTTGTCTGCCAGTTCCCCGTATGTTGTTGTGGATTTATGTTTTTTTTAAATTACTCATTTTCATAAGACCTAAGGAGGGAGAATATTTTGACTTTTAAAAAATAGAACTAGCTCTTGGTTTTATATCAGATTCCTTTTTTCCCTTTTGTTAGTTTCTGTGCTTATCTTTATTTCCTTTCTTCTAATTTCTTGGTTTCTGAGAAGTAGATATTTGGTTAATTTATCTTTATTTCTTTTCTCCAAAAATCCCTTTGAAACAAGAAATAAAAAATTTGTAGCACAGCTAGATGAACTGTAAATGTATATCATTTACATATAGACTAATTAACCATCAAAAACAGAAGACCCGGATTGTTTCTAATAATTTAATATGTTGGTCTTTATTGTTTTTTTACTTCTTTGTTTTTCATTTTATTTTATTTTATTATTAGTTTCAAGTATACAATACATTGGTTAGACGTTTATATAGTTTATGAAATGATCCTCTTGATTACTCTATCACCCATCTGGCTCTACACATAGCCATTACATTATTGCTGACTGCATTCCCTATGCCATGCTCTCCATCCCCCAATACTGTCTCAACTACTAATTTGTACTTCTTTAACCCTTCACCCTTTTCTCCCTTTGTTAGTCTTTAAAGAAACATTTTATTGTATTCTGAGCATGTCAGTCACTTTTAGATATTATTAGTAATAATAGTAGCTATGTTTGTTGAGTATTTATGTGCCAGGCAAAATGCTATATTTGAATTATTTGTTAAGTGTTTAACCTTTTTAACAACCCCATGAGGCCTGTTACTGTTATCATTTTACTGATGGAGAAACTAAGGCTTAGAGGTTAAGCAACTTGCCAGTGTCACAGTCATAAAGCTGTGGAGCTGGGATTTGGATTCAGATTATATGACTCCAGAACTCATGCTCTCAACCACTGTATTTTGTGGCATCTATAATCTATGACTGCATTTTTTGGTTAATATTTTATTTTGAAATAATTTCAAACTTATGGAATCATTGCAAGAATTAAGAATCTCATTATAGTCTTCACTCAGATTACCTAATCTGCCTTATCACACACACTGCCCCCCAATATTCACATACCCAAATAAGTTTTTTCTGAATGGTATCCTGAACCATTAAGATTAATTTGTAGACATTACCCCTACCTAAATACTTCCATGTATGTTTTCTAAAAGCGCAGACATTCTCCTAAATAACCATCCTTCAATTTTAGGAAAGTAACCATAATACAATACGACCATTTAATCCATAGATACCATTCATATTTCACTGGTTATATCAGTGTTCTTAATAGCAAAAGAACAAAGTCAGAAACTTACCCCCTTTTCTTTCTGGTCCAGGAGTACACATTTTACTTAGTAGTTGTATCTCTTTAGATTCTTTCAATCTCAAACCGTTCTTCCTTTTCTTTATCTCATTTTGGGTTTTCTGATTCTCCCCTAAGAATAGATTCAGGTCTTACATTTTGGGGAGGAATATCACAGAAGTGATGTTGTGTTGTTAATGCATCATAAGAGAAAGCATGTGATGTTTTGTTATTACTGGTGATGTTAACTTTCATTACTTAGTTAAGATAGTTTATGCTGTGTTTCTGCACTGAAGTTAATAAGTATTTTGTACTTTTATTAATTTTGGTAAGAGATAATTTAATAATCTGTAAATATCCTATTCCTCATTCAACTTTCACCTATTAGTTTTAGCATTTATTCATGATTCTTTCCTGCATTAATTATCATTATCTCAGATTTAGCCAGAGGAAACTCAGTTTGACTTCTGTGTCCTTTTGATACATCTATATTGTTCTTTGGGTACTTCCTTACTTCCTGTCACAAGACATTCCAGGCTCATCTTGTACTTTCCCTATTCCATTCCTAGAGTCAGCCATTTCTGCAAGGAGCATTGATGCCTTGCAGTAGAGAATGGTAATTAGAAATCAAGATTGGGTCATCATATGTACTCATTGCCACTGGAGTGACATTGATTCTGGACTCTCTGAACAGAACTAGGATATGTATATGTGTAATGACTGTGTATGAAATGTATATATATTTCACACATACATTTATATCTCTATATATCTATAATTATGTAATTATATAAAGCTATAAGTTTATACTGATACCTCTATTCTAGTTCAATACCATGGGATTTACTCTATGTTTCTGCTATTTCATATATGTACCTTTCTTCTCTATGAGGAGTCTGACTCCCAACTGTCCCTAATACATTTACTTGTTTGATCTGTAATCCTCTATGTAGTCAATTTTCCAACTCATAGACCTTTTTCTTGACCCTGGTTCCACCATACATGTGGCCACATGGGCCGACTTGCTTCTGGTTCCCATGAATACATTTTAAAGTAATATTTAATTATATATTTCTGCTTTTCCTTTATTGTCCAGGTCTTCCAAGATTTGCCAGCCAACCAGAACCTTCTTCAGTTTATGCTGGAAACAGTGCAATTCTGAATTGTGAGGTTAATGCAGATTTGGCCCTATTCGTGAGATGGGAACACAACAGGCAGCCTCTTCTTCTGGATGATAGAGTTATCAAACTTCCAAGTGGAACCCTGGTTATCAGCAACACAACTGAAGGAGATGGGGGACTTTATCGCTGCATAGTTGAAAGTGGTGGGCCACCAAAATACAGTGATGAAGCTGAATTAAAAGTTCTTTCAGGTATTAATTTATTATCAGAACTGATGGTTTTATGTTTATTGATGGGTAAAAATTATTCTGTTAGAGTTTTTAAAATAAATACTATTAAATAGTGTGGCGTGGTATATTAATGTCAGCATAAGGAGTCTGTTTCTTACAAAAAGGAAAAAGAAGAAAACATACCAAAAAGATCCACTCTTTAGTGAATGAATTTATCAGTAAAAATTTATCAAGCTCTTAAATATATTCAGTATGTATAGCATTCTTCTTGACCAAATAAACATTAGCTCTGTGTCTTTTGTCAAGCCTCCCCACAATAGGATAATTATTATAGTTCTTTTACTTCCCTGTAATAGGATAGTTTTTATGGTAGGTCTTTTTACTTGTAAAAATCGGAGACTCACTCAGGCTAGTTCATATAAGGGACAGGCGGACTGGTAACTGTCAATACAGCAGCTCTCGAGACACTGGTAAGCAAGCATTGTTGGATCTTTATAATACTCCCCATGCCCCCACTTTTAATGTAAACTCACCTCTTCTTTCTGTCTTTCCTTCTTTTTCTGGGTTCTCACTCTTTCTGCTCCGACTGGCTTTCCTCATAATGTGTTATGTGTATCTTTTCTTAAATGTGTAACTTCTTACTCATAACTTCCTCTCACTTGCAGCTCTTCATATTTGATATTTCATGACCTTTCAGCTTCTGTTCCCACTACTAGGTGCCTGATTCCACATTTCTTATTTTAAATGTGAGTTTATGACTATAATTTGACCACCCCCACGTTGTGTGGGCAGAGTTTTTCTATATGATAACTACATAGGTCCATTTTTACCCCATGGATTGGCTTGCAAAGTGAGACCAATATGATGAGCAGTGATTCTTGAGAGTGTTTCTGATGAGCCTTGAACTGATTTTTTTAAATAGTTTTGTCATCATTTTTTAAATAGTTTTGTCATCATCATCTTTGCCATTGTCATTCCTATCCCAACGTATTCTCAGCTCAGCAGCCACAGTTATCTTTTAAATGTATATCAGATTGTGCCATATATTTGCTCAGAACATCCTAATGATTTCCCATCTCAAAGTAAATGTTAAGATCTTCGGCTTGTTAGGCTTTATATAATCTTAATTCCACCTCCCTCCCCCGTCTGTCTTCCATCTCATACTTTTCTTTTCCTCTGTGATTGTGGCCCCCTTACATTTCTAGAACACTCCAAACATGCTCTTGCTTTAGGGCCTTTCTTGCCGATTTTTCTGCCTGGAATCCTCCTCTTCATATATCTGCCTGACTCACTGTCTTTCGCTTGAATATGACTATCAGTGAAGTCTTCCTTGACCACTGTTTAAAACAACAATTTCCCATTCCCCTCGCTCCCTGGTGCTTTTTCTTTCCCCCTTCATTTTACTTTAGAACATAGCACCATCTGACATTACATCTTTTATTTGTTGTTTCTCCCCCTGTTAGTATGTAAGCTCAACAAGGGCTTTTGTCTGATGCCAGAATGGTAACTGGCATTTAGAGGCCAATAAATATTTGTTCAGATTTGTTTCTAACAAAATTCAATTAAATCTAGGTAAATAATTCAAGGTAAAACAAAAGAGAGAGAGAACTATTGCCATATAGCAGTGTCTTCCAGCCTACTTCTTGACTTGCTTCACCATGACAGAGGTCATATTTCTTCTCTATACCCAGGTAGCATTCGAGCAAATCCTCTAAATCAGATCCAGGGAAACAAGCTTCTCAGTGTCAAAGAGTAAGCTATCACTCAGTATCTGCAACAAAAATAAAGTACTGAATATCTTGTTTGCTTAGTGAAGGAGAGCTATGCTTACGAAGTATAATCTTCTTGAATAATACAAACTGCTGATGTATGGAATTTTGGGGAAGACATTGTTTTTGGTGTGTTGGTTACAAGGCACAGGTGTGTTGATCACATACATAGAAGTATGTTTTATGGTTGGTTACAGAGGGAAGAACAGGTTCATGTTAGCCTTAGAAGCAAGTGATTCTATTGCTGAATGGCTGACTTCTAAAGCCTGAGGCTGTCACTGATTAATTGGCTTTCAAAGCATGTTCACTGAAGAGAGTTGTCCTCACTGATCTCTTACCGGTTACTTGTTACCATGGTTACAGAACTGTCACTATTTGGTTACACAAGTTTAAAGCCAGCTATGGTGGTGGTTACTATGGCTATAGGACATCTTTCTTTTCCTAGGAGTATGGGGACTGGAGTCACATCTCTTTACATGAGAACCATCTTTTTACTCCAGAACCTAACACCAGAAATATCACCCTCAATACATAAGAGAACTCTATCTTTTGCCCATAAGGGTGTGGCTTTTTCATGTGGCCATAAAAGGTAACTATATAAAGTGAACACGCATATAGTGGTAGCCTGATAGTTGCACCATTATAAAATCAAAGGATTGACAGACTAAGTGAACAGATTAAAGAGATGAAACTCAGAAAGATTTTCAGAAGTAACACACAGATATAGGGAAGGAAAGAAAACCTCTTATGAGACCCCTGTGAGTGGGGAGGATGCTGCTAAGAGTCTTGAGCTTGCTCAGTCTTTTCTCTACTTTTACCACTTTTTCCTATCTTTTAAAGTGAAGGCAATTCATGTCAAATCTCCCTTAGTTAACTAGTAAGCACATTGAAGACAGGAGCTATAACTTAACTATCTTTAAGGCCCCAAGAGAGCCTAGCACAATGCTTTGCACATAGATGTTATTTAGGAAATGTTTGCCAATTTAAATGGAATTTTCTTGTGTCATTTTTCCTTAAAATATTTATTATATAAAGCCACACAGACCAAGTAGGAGTTTGCCATTCTTCATCATTAAAGTGGTAAAGTGCTTTCTTAGTTATTCTTTTATTTAAAATATTTTTTTTCTTTTTAGATCCTGAGATCACATCAAACTTGGTATTTTTGAAGCAACCTTCTTCCTTAGTCAGAGTCATTGGTCAGAGTGCAGTATTGCCGTGTGTTGCTTCGGGACTTCCTATTCCAACCATTAGATGGATGAAAAATGAGGAGGCACTTGACACAGAAAGGTAATGTTGTCTGTCCAAAAGCCTTTTTCAGCCTTAGCTTGAGACTTGGTCTAATCTTATTTGGGACTATTGATTAATTTAAAAAAATTGATTATTTACTTTATTTTTAAAACATCATTTATCATCCTTAAAATGTTTATATGTTATATATGATTAGGATATTTAAAGAAAAATGCTCTCAAAATATGGAGGAATAATTATTCCATTTGTTCTTTCTGAGCTGCACTATACTTAGCTTAAGGGCTTGGGACTTCTCTACTTTATTGCAAGGGTTTCTGGTCCTGGGTAGCCTGAGACTCCTTACTCTCTCATATGCGTTTTGTTGATAGTAGTTTTTTCTTTACTCAAACACTAAAAGAAGATGTATTTCTCATCCTTTCGTTTTTGCCTTTTAAAAATAATACCAGATAATACCAGCCTTCTTCTATGATCACAAATTCTTCATCTTCCACAACAGCCTTTTCTGTTATCTATCCCATCTCCCTCATTACTTCTTTATGGTCTGGATACTTTTCTCAGTTGTATTCTGACAAGAGAACTGAGGTGGTGGTGATGGAGGTTAGATATACTGTGTTTCCAAAACAGGTTATCTTGTGCCTTGTAAGGTGTTAAGTATATCCCTGACCTCTACCCACTCGATGCCAATAGCACTCCCAAGTTGTGACAAGCAAAAATGTTTCTAGAAATTGCCAGATGCCCCTTGGGGGAAAAATCATCCCCAGTTGAGAACCACTATTCTAAAGCAGTGCTGTCCAATAAAGATATGATGCAAGCCATATATATAATTTAAAATTTTCCGTAGGTGCATAAGAAGAGTAAAAAGAAGTACATGTGCAATACTAAATACAATAATAATTTATGCAATGTACCAGTTAAAGTGAAAGTAGTGCTTCCAAAATAATAAAGTTTGTGTTTAGCGCAACTTCAGCTTTTACATTTAAATAAAAATTAAATTAAAAATTCAGTTCCTCAATCATTCTGCCACATTTCAAATGTCAGTAGCCACATGTGGCTAGTGGCTGTCCATTAGGACAGAGCATGTCTAGAGTTTCTCAATTGAATTTTCCAAAGTAAGCAAACAATCTTAATTTGTTTAGTAACCAAAACATGGAAAGGAATATCTAGTTAGCCTGATGATCAACCTTCAGTGATCAGTGGGGATAATAGAATACAAGCAGATTGTTTCTCACATGTTCCATTAGCAAAACTGATGATATCATTTCCAATATTACCTGATTTCTTTCTCAACACCCATCCAGTTACTTCTTTTACCCTTATTTTACTTTCTTTCTTCCCACTCCTTCCCAGCTAAATATGCAAAGAATTTATAAGACCAGGGAACTTTTTTAACATGCTAACAAACACAAGGAACATTAAAATGGGAGATAAAAATTTCAAGCTCTTAGAGAAGAAATTTTTATGGGTTACATGTTAGAACAAAATATCAGGAATAGGAAAGCTGAAATAAATTACTTCAAAACCTTTAATATTTTATCATAAAAGGACATTTTGAAGATGTATAAAATACAGAAGTTTGCTTTCTTATATAAGAAATAAAAGTGAGGATTTCTGTGATTCTCATTTGTTTATTTAATAATTATTCAACAAATATTTATTGAATGCAGATTATGTTAGGTACTGTGCTAGGTACTGGGAATAGAGAAGTGAACCAAATAGAGTTTTTACTCTTAAAGGACCTCATATTCTAGTGCAGAAGAGTCAGATAGTCATCATATACACATAAAAAATGTCAGTTTACATTAAGTGCTATGAAGAAAATTAAGCAAAGTATGTCATGGGTGTCAGGAGAGGTACAGGTGGGATTGCTATTTTATGCAGTGTGTTAGAGCGTTGTTCTCTTAGTAGACTGATTCTCAGCCAGGTGTCTAGTTGGGTCAGGGGTATAGAAATTATGGTAAGAATATTATATATCTTCCTTTTATGTTACATCAAATTGTTATGTTTGATTTTATTCAAAGATATTTCTGAGGGGAAATGTTTTTTAATTAAATCAAATGTGGATATATATCATGGCTTGTAATATTCCTCTGAATTTTAAGGATAAATCGAGAGACTTTTAAGATTGAGTAGACTGTTTTCTACCTTGATTTCTCTAAGTTTCTTCATACTCAGGTTATGTGGTCGAGAAGTCTGAGAAGCATTGCTTGATATAGCACTGTCACAGGAAGATTCAGAGGAATATAAGAGTAGGACAGTGTTGGCATTGTTCGCATTGGTATTTCCAGACCCTAGCACAGTGCTTGGCATGCAGTGGGGTAGGAAGAGTGGTGACCAATGTATTTTGGTTGAATGCCTGAATGTCGTATAGGAAAATATAAGTGGGACACAAAAGTGCTTCTGGTTAGATATAAGTAGTTAATCAAAATATCAGCCAGAGCCTCATGAGCTATGTACATGGACCTTAGTTAGTTGTTTAGACTTTAAATTAGAAAGAAATTTAGAAATTAAAAGAAAAAAGTAGCTAGAGATCCAGATAGTACTGGGCTGGCTCTAGTAGAAAATCTTAAATTATTAGACATCTTTTTTGTTACTAATTTTAAGACATCTTTACAAATGAATATTGTAAAACATTACTATAGCTTTTATAAATGTCTTAAGAATTAATATAGTTACTTAATCTTTGGATCAAATTTGTTCAGATTCATACCAAACATAGCTGAAGGGGTAGTGGTGGTGGAAATGTATCCCATTCATTGAGTAGTTTTATTTTAAAAGGAGAGAATCCAGAAAATACAAATGCTGAAGTGCAAAGTGATTGACAGCAAAATGTGATTTAGTAATCAAATAATGTTATGTTTTAGTGGAATGATAGATCAGAATCAAGCCACAAAGGAACAGGTTATTGTTATAAAAATGCTTAATGTTATTATAATAGTAGAAAGATTAGATTTAAAAAACAAATGGAGGACTTCCTTTCTAGGGAGATGGAGTAGATGTATTTTTCTCTGTTCTTCCTGATAAATACAACTAGAAACCATGGAAATTATATATACAACAAACATAAAAAGACTCTGAAAGACAGAGAAAGATTGACTGGCTAGGGACCTTGGCACCCAAGAGAAAACATGATGATGAGTTCCCTGAGCTTTCTCTTTGCCTCTTGGAAACACCAACAGACACATACAAAAAAGCTCTAACAAAAGTGTGTTCTTTCCAGCCACAGGACTGGGAAAGGGACAGCCTAGCAAGACAAAAACTGTTAGACTATAATCACTCTTATTCCAGCCAAACACCACAGAAGAAACTGGCCCCACCCTCCCTATGCCAGCAGAGACCAAGTGGGAAGCCTAGACTTCCACCCTCACTTTGTTGTAATGAGATACTTCACCCTCCTTGCTGTATGGTGCTAAGGAGGGAGTCAAGATTTTCATCCCAACCAGGCATTATCGGTGGAGACCACGTGGGGAAGCCTAGGCTTTTATCTCACCCCACAGTAAGAGGCACTTCTTCCCTTCCCTACTGGGGTGGTATCAAAGGAGGCCTAGTGGAGAGTCAGAACTTTCACCACTCTGTAGTATTGAGCGCCCCACTCCTACCTCAGCATCAGTGGATGTCATGTGGGGAACAGTAATGAGGCACTTTTGCTGCACCCAGGGGGCAGTATAATTGGAGGCCCAGTACAGAGCCAGAACTCCCAACCTTGCTAAGGAGTAATGAGGAAAATTCTCACCCTGCCCCTTTAGGGATTAATGGAGTAGGGAACCTGGACTTCTACTTCCACCTGACAGTGATGAGGTGGTACCTCCTCTTTCCTCTTTTAGAGCGGTGTGAGAAGAAGCCATCTAAAACAAAAGGCTTAGCGAGATACAGAGTCTCAACATAATACCCCAGATATCCAGATTTCAGTTGAAAATCACTTATCATACTAAGAACCAGGAAAATCTCAAATGAGAAAAGACAACCAGTACATGCCACCATTGAGATGATAGGTTTTAGAATTATTTGACAACGATTTTAAAGCAATTATCATAAAAATGCTACAATGAGCACTTATGAGCGGACTTGAAGTAAATGAAAAAATAGAATATTTCAGCAAAGAATAGAAAGTCTCATATAGAAGATTTAAAGAAAAACAAAATGGAAATTTTCAAACCTAGACAGGAACCAAAATAAAAAAACTCAGTGGATGAGCTTAACAGCAGATTGAGTAGGACAAAGGAAAGAATCAATGAACCAGAAGAAAAGACACAAATGATAATATTATGACTAAAATAGGGATGCCACTACAGACCCTACAGACATCAAAAGGATAATAAGGGAATACTGTAAACATAGAAATTTGACAACTTAAACAAATCATTTCCTCCAAAATATAAACTACCATATCTAACCCAATATGAAATAAATAATTTGAATAGCCTTCTAACTTTTAAGAAGATTGAATTTGTAATTTTAAAACTCTCCAAAAAGAAGTCTTAAGGCCCACATAGTTTCACTAGAGAATTCTACCAATGTTTAAAGAAGTTTTAACATCAATTCTATGCAGTCCCTCTAGAAAATAGAAGGAATTAAAACTAGTATTACCCTGATACCAAAACAGACAAAGACAGTATAAAAAACAGAAAACTACAGACTAGTATCCCCAAACCAATAAACAGAATTCTTAAAATATTAGCAAATAGAATTAAGCAGTATATTAAAAGTTATGTATACCGTGACCAAGTAGGGTTTATTCCAAGGATCGCAAGGCTGGCTTAGTGTTCCAAAATTAATGTAATCCACCCTATTAACAAACTAAAGAAAAAAACCTGCATGATCAAATTAATTGAGAAAAGGCATTTGACAAAATTTAATGCTCATTTATTTTTAAAAAAGCCCTCAAAAATAATTAAGAACATTTTCTAAAAAGAACCCTACAGCTAAATTTATGCTAATGGTAAAAGACAGTACTTTCCCTTTAAGATCAGGAACCAGTTTAGGAAGTTCACTGTCATAGTGCTGGAAGTTCTAACTCGTTCAGTAAGGCAAGAAAAAGAAAAGGCACACAGATTAGAAAGGGAGAAGTAAAACAGTTCCTATTTGCAGAGGATATGTTTGTCTACATAGAAAATCCCAAGGAATCCACAAAAAGCTCTTAGAACTAAGACATGAGTTCAGCAAGATTTCAAGATAAAATATAAACAAATATCAGTTGTATTTCTGTATATTAGCAGTGAACATGTGAACACTAAAATTACAAATACAATAGCATTTACATTCACTCACACAAAAATGAAATACTTAGGTATAAATCTAACAAAGCCTGTTAGATTTATATGTTAAAAACTGTGAAATGCTAATGAAAGAAATCAAAGAAGATCTAAATGGAGAGACATACTGTGTCCATGAATTGGAAAACTTAACATTGTAAAGATATCAGTTCTCTTCAAATTGATACACAGATTAACTCAATTCCTGTCAAAATCCCAGCAAGATTTTCCATATAGACAAGATTATCCTAAAATTTATATGGAAAAGTAAAAGAATTAGAATAGTTAAAACAGTTTTTTAAGTGAGGAGAATCAGTTTACCTGATTTCAAGACTTAATTGTATAGTTACAGTAATGAAGAGTAGAGAATCCAGATATAGGCCTAAACAAAAATGCCCAACTAAACTTTGACAAAGATGCAAAAGCTATTCAGTGGAAGAAAGATAATCTTTTAGACAAATGCTACTGGAACAGTTAGATACCCAGCCATAGACAAAAAAAAATAAACCTCAATCTAAGTCTCATATCTCATATAAAAAATTAACTCAGAATGGAACATGGACCTGAATGTAAAATGCAAAATGGAATTTTAGAAAAATATAGAAAATCAGGATCTAGGTCTAGGCAAAGAGTTCCTAGATTTGACACTAAAGGCACAATCCATAAAAGGAAAAATTGAAAATTGAATTTCATCAAAATTAAAATAACTTGCTCTATGGAAGACCCTGTTAAGAGGATTAAAAGGTAAATACATTGTGGGAGAAAATATTTGCAAATCTGTCTATAACAAAGGACTAGTATCTAAAATGTGTGAAGATCTCTCAAAACTCAACAGTAAAAAAAGCATATAACCAAATTGGACCATGGGCAAAAAGCATGAGTAGATGTTTCACTGAAAAAGATATACAGATGGCAGATAAGCACAAGAAAAGTTGTTTAATATCATTAGCCATTAGAGAAATGCAGACTAAAACTGCAATGTGATATCACTACATATCGGTTGAATAGCTAAAATTTTTAAAAGGGCGGTAACACCAAATGCTGTCAAGGCTCTGGAGAAACGGAATCACTGGTGTGAAATGATACAGCCACTCTGAAAAACTGGCAGTTTCTTAAAACACTTAACATGTGCAACTGCCATATAACCTAACATTTATACTCTTGGGCATTTATTTATCCCACAGAAATGAACTTATGTTCACACAAAAACCTGTCCATGTGCCATTATGGTAACTTTATTCATAATGGTACCAAACTAGAAACAACCCAGATGACCTTCACTGAGTGAATGGTTAAACTATAGTATATCCATACTGTGATTCTGTTTACATAACATTCTTCTTGAAATGACAAAATTACTGAAATGAAGAACAGATTAGTGCTTGCCAGAGGGTGATGAGGAGGTGAGAGTGGAAGGGAGGTGGGTGAGGCTATAAAAGGGCAGTGTGAGGCAGTAGTGATGGAAATGTCAGTATCCTGGTTATGATATTGTACTGCGGTTTTACAGCATGTTACCACTGGAGGAAATTGGGTAAAGGGCACATGGGATGTCTCTGTATTATTTCTTAGAACTTCATGTGAATCTGCACTTACTTCAAAATGAAAAGTTTAAAGAAAAAAAATGAGAAAATAAATTTTGTGCCAGAGCATATGTAAGATGTAACTTTCACCGCCCCTTCCTGTCCTGCTGTTGTGTCTGAGAAGTCCTTTTGTGCTCTATATCTTATTTGTGTTCATCTTCTCCAGCATTTTTATGAATCTTCTTTTTAAATTTCTCTCTCTCCATTGGCTCCTTCTCTTTTGCCTCTAAAGACTTACCTCTCTCCCACTCAAATAACAACACACAGAAAACCTATTAGACAAGCAGTTTTCCTTTTGCTTTCTCCTTCACACATACTGCCCTACCTGAAGAGTCTTCTTTGATATGTTTCTTCCTCAGCTTCTCTATCCAGTTCATCTATCTACAAGATATTATTTTACCTCCTGAATATCTCTGAAATTCATCTATGTTGCTACCACCGTCAGCTATTCCCTCAATTATTGCAATAGCCTCCTAATTATTCTTCCCACATGTACTCTGGTCTCATTCCAAATGCATCTTCATACTCTTGCCAAACCATTCTTTTCAGATATCATCACATCTCTGTCAGGCTCCTACCCACTTTTAAAAATATTTAATGGATTTCCAGTGTTTTTAGGTTAAAGATTCAAATTCTTAAAATGGCTTTCAAAGCCTTGTGTAGTCTGGCTCCATCCTCATCTTTTTCTTTTTCTCTCTCTTACACCTGTCACACTGGTTATTTTCAGATCCCCAAATACAGTGTGATCCTTTCTGCCACAGTTTCTTGTCGCAGGCTGGTCTTTCTTTCTGAAATCTTTTTCTCCTCGTCATTAACTCCTATTCATTCTTCAAATTTCAATTTACGGGATACTTCAGTCAGGAAAATCTCTCTCGTCTAATACCCTGGCAGGTTCTTTTTATATACTACTTTGTAGGATTGTCATTTATGTCTCTTTCCCACTGAGTTGCAGGACAGCACTAATTGTGTTTTTGCTCACCGCTGCATCCCCAGCTACTCCCTGACACATAAAGGCACACCAATAGATATTTGTTAACCAAATGAATAAATCCCTCCCCTTATCTTCATCATCCAACTTTTTTTATAAGAGTGGTCAATACTTTTTGCCTTCTCTTTACCCCATCATTGCTGCTATAGTTCATCTCTTTCTCTTTAATTCTGCACCATTACAGTAACTTTACAACCAAACATCCCGTTTCTAGTCTTTTCCCCACTCCTCTTGTTTCTTCAGTAAATCTGATCATGTTATTCATCTGCTTAAAGTCTTCCCTTTTGGCCAAAAAAATAGGTCTCCTTAGCAAACCAGGCTCTCCTAGACTGACTCCAGTTACTGAGAGAGAGAAAGAGAGAGACACAGACACACACACACACACACACACACACACACACACTCACTCACTCACTCACTCACTCAGCCATACTCAACCAACTTGGGTCCATTGACTATGCCTACTTTTTCACACATTATTTCCTTTGCCTGCATATTTGAAATTTGAAGTTCTAAAGACTTGCTTGCCATGTTACTATAAGCCATCATATAGTTTTGTAAACAAGTTAAGTTAATTCTGCCAAGCTAGTGAACATTCTTCCTCCCAGGTTTCTTTTAAGAGGAGTAAAACCAACTCTATTAAGAAAGATTACTTCTGTACTGGCATTCAGTTATGGCAAATATAAGGCATAGTGAGTATCAGAAATATTTTTAGTATGATTATTAGATATAAATTACTGTATCTCTATTTACGAAGGACCATACCAACTAGCATTTCAAATTGTTACTTTCAACTGGTATCATATATATATATTTCTGATTTCCCATTTGTGAACATTGTTTTCCATTTCCGAAGCTTAGTAGTGTTTTTGTCCCAATTGTAAAATATAGGATTTTAATGTTTGTAAATTTTTCTTATTTTATCTTACCTGTTTACCCCAGTTATTCTTTTTGTTCCATTATATGTTGTGTCGCTTCTCTGTTCCATCACATAATGTTGGGATATGAAGGCATATTTAAGATATTTCAAAAAGGAAGGCCATATAATAAAGTTTAGTAATGACTTTGCAGGATATTTCTTCGAAAAGTTACCAGACCCGATTCTGGTTTTCCTCTTCCTTTGCCCAGAAACATAATCTTGTTTATCAAGTTAAGAAAGACTAATTACTCAAACTCACAGTGTACTGAAATTTAAGCCAGAATGGAACTTTACTTAGGATGAGAATTATAAATGTGGCACAGACTGAATAATTATTTCCTCTGATTTTTTTTCCCTGTCAGGATTCTATATGAAAAGCCAAATTACAATCAGAACATTTTTTGTTGAGCATAGATACAGACAGGAAATGTAATAATATTAAGATTTGAGAGAAAAATATGCCTATGTAAACCAGTTTAAATGTAGAACCTCAAAATAAAAATGAAATTGTAACTCCAAACTCTCTAAATTAACTAAACTTGTTCACTTTATAAAAATTTATTCAGAATATTGATTTGTGATTTCTTCCTCCATATTATAGGATCATTTTACTTTCTCTTTAAATATTCTCTTTAAGTAGACTTAAATCACTCTTTACAGTAGGGTTAGTAATGATCAGCATCCTTGTTGATAATGACATGACTGATTCATGCCCAGCCACCACACCCAGTGAACTGCTCTCTGGCAGCTGTCCTTTCTCCCTTCCCTTCCTCTTTTCCTCCCTTTCCTAGCCAAGCTACCATAGGAAACTTTCAGTAGGCATTGTGACCCCCTGACTTACTGTTTCTGATCTGATCTTTTGTCATCTCAATGTGGCATAATCGTGGTGGAATGACTCTTAGATTGATTATAGACTTCAAAAATACAGAATTTGCAAAAAAATATATTTTTTCCATAAAAAACTTGGGTAGAGTAGGGAGGCAGGGGTGGACTGTGGGAATGGAATTGGTCACAAAAAGTGCTATCTCTTTGGGAATAATTAGAAGTATCAGAGATAATTTATTAAAACATTTTGATTTGTATTTGTGATATTTATTCATGAAAAATATAAACAAAGCAAATTGTTCTAAATTGAATTCTGATGATTTTACATAGTCTCTGTCCATTTCTAGCCATAATACTGCTTAAGCGTTTTCTCTGTTTTATGTGGACAATTTTTCAGGTATTATTTTCCTAGTTCTGAAATGTACCAATATTTTTTTATGCAGCTCTGAAAGATTGGTATTGCTGGCAGGTGGTAGTCTGGAAATCAGTGATGTCACTGAGTATGATGCTGGGACTTATTTTTGTATCGCTGATAATGGAAATGAGACAATTGAAGCTCAAGCAGAGATTACAATACAAGGTATGTATTTCCTGTATAAACAACTGTTTGCCAGTTGTTTAACATTAATGTGGGAGAGGCAATACAGCCTAATTAAAAGCCTGAGCTTTAAACTAGACCACTTGAGTTCAAATTCTTATATTTTCTAGCTGTATAATGATAGGAAATTAACTTTTCTGAGCCTCACTTTCCTCATCTGTAAAATAGAGATAGTAAGAGTATTTACTTGATTGGGGTTGTTTCGAGGATTAAAAGAGTTAGCATTTGTAAAACTGCCCAGATAGTGACTAAAATACAGTAAGCTCAAAGTTAGTTATTATTATCTGTAGTAGTAGTAGTAGTAGTAGTATGAGGAAGGGTGCAATCTGGGGGCATCCGAACTTCAGTTCACTTTTCTTATCTCAGAATGCTTTCTCACAGAGACTTCCTATTCTCTGATCTGGAATCATGGATCTCGTAAGCATTGGTGTTCCCTCCTTTCAAGTGAATAGATCACTCAGGAAGGGGAGTGCACTGTGCCTCTCAATATAATATGGTCATCTGTTTGATGATTTCTTTCTGTTTAACTAATGCTGAGTGTCACAGCATTTCTCCTTTATGGGTTCTCTGATTTAGAAGTCAGAAAATGAACATGGCATGTACACATAGTCTCTTCTTTATCCCATCTCCCTTGCCCTTCCTCCGTATGGAAATGTATCCACAGAGGACTACTTGCTATCTCTCCTGTGATTTGTCTGCACCCTCATTTATCTTTGTTTCAAATAAAAATCTTTAAGAGCTTCTCCATTACTTTCAGGGAAATCTAACACTGCTTGGCTATGTTGAGGTTATATGTTGGATATATTGGCTTGCTATAGTCATTATCAACTTGCCTTAAATTGTATTGTATTTGATAGAATACTTTCTGATCGGTGGTTTGGGGTTGTTTCATAGTTCATATGAAAGTTTCTTTTGGTACATTTGGTTGGTTTCAGAATGAGAAGTAGAGTAGCCACATTCCTACTCTAATAAGAAGACTCAGACGTGTTTTTGATAGGAATTGGGGAGCACACTATGTTGGTGAAGGCATAGAATGTTTATATTCTCTATTGCTAGTTGTGGGTGGATTTGTAATCTCTGAAAAGCGAAAAGAGCAGGCGTTGGAGTTCACATAACTGTTACCTCAGTGAGCTCAACCATTGTTCTTAGCTAGATGGAGGCTGACTATGATTAGCTGTTGAAGGACCAGCTTACTTATTTTACCTTTATGTGGATGGGACTGAACAAGTAAAATATTAGTGAACTCCATCTAATTTGATCTCTGTGCCTCCATTACTGGATGTTTTCTTTTTGTTTTTTTCTATTAATCGGATTCTTGGCCTAATACTCTCTTTCATTTTCCTACCTGTGCCTCAGTTTCTTTCACTGTAAAGTAACTTGTTATAAGCCTCAAATGAGAGAGGCATAGTGTCTGCCATATATGTCAGTTGCATTTGTTCATGTGATTATTTTCTACTCTTTTATTTTTATGCATCATGGAATCTGATTGAGACTCTGCCTATTAACTGTATTAATAACATTTTTAATTATAAGATAATAAATATATTTTATAATTTGTACCCAGTTCCATCTTATTATCTGTGCTAGACAAAATGCCCTTAAATGAATACATTCTAGAAAACAGAAAAGAATAAGAGTGAGGAAAACAGTATATTAAAAATTACAACAAACCATCCCTAATCAAAACAGCATGGTGTTGGCCCAAGAATAGAGAATAAAAGAATAAAATACAGCTGTTATAAGTAATTATGATACTTTAAAATATTATCAAAATGGCAATTCAGTTCATAGAAGAAAATGTTTTATTTACTGAAAGATATTGGTACAATATACTTTCATGTGGAAGAAAATAAAGTTGGATCTTTACTTCAAACCAAAGTCTAAATGTGAAAAAATGAATAAAAAAGTGAGATAGTATTTGTATTATCTCTGATAGAAGAGACAGTCTTAGGAAAAACAGAAAATAGCATGTCAAACAAAAAACAACAAATTTTGAAAAACAGAAAATAGCATGTCAAACAAAAAACAACACATACATTTTTTAAAAAGTTACATAGAGCATTGTGAGTAAAGGGTAAATGCAAATGATAAACTAGGAGAAAATATTTGTAACACATAATTGAGAAAGGGTCAGAATGTTAAAAAAGGAGTGCTTTCAGTAACATGTTTTAAAAAGAAAGAACCTGAGGAAAATTGATAAAAAAAATATGAACAGACATTTCACAGGAGCTTATTAGCTATTTGAATTTCTACATCAGTAGATAGGCAACCTTATTAGTAGTAGGAAAAATACAAATTTAAAAGATACCATTTTCCCCAACCATCATATTGGCAAAAGTTGAAATGATTTTCACCTCTATAACATGTGGTATGGTGCTCAGAACTGAAAATAGTTATTGATATCATCTTACCAGTGCAGAATAGAGCAAAAGCTATATCTGATACCTCCTCGGTACTAGATATTGTATTCCTCAATGAAATTTAAGGTTGAATTAGTGTTCTCGATATCCTTATTATAGGATATCCAAATTCATTTACTAACCAAGTCTCATAAACTGTTCATCAACTCTTACTTCCCAGTCTTACTTGGGGAGGATGTCTAAGGTTCTAAGTTAGGTTCTTTCATTTCTTACCTACTATTGAAATAGCCTTCTATTTGCTAACTTCTCTATTTCTAACAAAATTTTAGTTCATCTTGAAGCTAATAGTCGTACATTTGTTTTTGAGAGTACCTGCCATGGTCTTTGATCCTTTGTAGAGGACTGAGGAATTGTGGTGCTTAAAGACAGTTAGAGGTCAAAAATCTTGATGAGCAAAAGAGCTGTAGAGAATTTTTTAAAAATTTCACCCAAAAGGTTATGCAGAGTGCTTTATAAGTCCATGGTTAATGAAAAGTTAGAAAAAATAAATGAAATATACTTTTAAAGATAAGAAGCTAGAGATGTTATGAGTATCCATGACAGAATTAGAGTACTTATTATTATTATTATTCTCTAAACAAGATGCCCCAGGGTAACTTTTCCGGTGGTAACATACTAAATATTAACTTTTAATTCATCAGTTTGCCTCAGATTTTTGAACTGAATTAGGAGCGGTTGAAATTGAGCAAAAGCTTTACACTTTTGATGAAGAAAATAGTTGCTAGGCTAGTTTCCAGTTTCTGTCAAACTAGTCCCAGCTGTTGACTCCTTCACCCCAAATCAATTCTGAAGAAACAGAGGGAAGTGCAGAGAGACTGAAGCTCTCTTGAACCTGTATGTGGTTATGGGTGAGTGGGGTATAACGTGTGGGGATGGCAGCTACAGCCTGAGACTAAGGAATGCCAGAGGTAGCAGTGACAAAATAGGTTGGAAGAAGGCTGTTAAGTTTTATTGTTATTTCTCACTAGTGTTGCCTTGAGACTGTCTTTACCTGTCCCTTCACCACAGAAATGAGCAGCAATGGTCCAGGTTGGTTTCTCCGTAAGAGTTTAAATGTGAAATCCTGACCAGAGGAGTTGCCTGTGGAATGCTCAGCAAATTGGTGTAAACAGCTAGTTCCGTGATCCTTGGGACTCTTTGCTCCGGGGCTCATTCTCCACTGTTAAGTTCACCAGGTTGGATATAAGTAGGCTCTGGTGACCATACAAGTTATAATCATACAGAGTGGTTGGTATCCCAGAAGGACATTAGTTTACAGTCAAACTAGTCACCTGAATAGTACCATTACTCTCAAAGAAAGACAGTTTAATTAACATATACCATCTGATGGAGAATTATTAGGAAAGATTGACCAAGAATTAAAAATAATCATGATAAACATATTTAAGGAAATAAAGAAGATATTAGCCATATAATGTAAGAACGAGAAAACATAAAAACATAGAACCAAGTAGAAGTATAAGTTATGAAAAATGTAGTAAAAATAAAGACTATAGTAGACTGGCTGATAGCCAAAAGCATACAGAATGAGCGAATTAGTGAGTTGGAAGATGATGTTGAGAATTTAGCATTAAATGATAGAGAACACATAGAATAAAAGCCAAGAGGTATGAAAATTAGATGCAGAAAGGCTTCTATCTAGATAAACAGTAATCCTAGAGGAGAGATAAAAAGGGAGGAGGAAACATTTGAAGAAGTAATTAAGCTAAATTTCTCAAAATTAAAAACTGATAGAAGATCTTAGCCTGAGAGGGCTTAAAGACTTCTAAATATGGGAAAGGAAGAGAAACACGTCATTAGACCCATTGATAGTGACATAATATCAAAGACAAAGAAAAAATTCTGAAAGCTTCCAGTGGCAAAGAGCAGATCACTTCCAAAGGAATAAAAATTAGATTGCACCTAGTGTTTATCTTGAAAAATCTGACATCAAGAGGACAATATAGTAATGTTTTTAAAGTGTTAGAGGGGAAGAATGTTGAATCCTTACAGAATTTATATGCAACCAAATTGTGAGGCATAATAAAAATTCTCATTTAATATAAGACCTCAGAAGGTTTCCTACACAAAGATACACACTGGAAACCCTTTTAGAATTAATAACTAAGAAGAGACTCATTCAGGAAATGCTCAAGAGTTAGGAGTTTTAAAACATATCTCCCAAATTTTTGAAAGTCTTTCTAATGAGTGGTGTAGTTTATATCCCTTGCCCTTGAATCTGAGAGCGCTTGGAGCCGTTTGAATAAATAGAGAACGGCAGAGGTGATGTCACATGACTTCTGAGGCTTATTAAAAGCCATGTGGATTTCTCCTGGTTCTCTTTGGAATTACTGATCTCCAGAAAGACCTTCCTCTTGGGATCTCCTTCTCAGAACCCAGCTGCCATGCTGTGGGAAGCCCAAGGCACAAGGAAACACTAAATCATAGGTGCTTTGGTAGACAGTTTTAGCCAAGTCCAACTTTCAGGTCATCTAACCCAGGGACCACACATATGAATGAAGGAGTCTCCAATTGATTTCAGCCCATAGCTTGCTTGATTTCTTTTTTCTTTTCTTTTCTTTT